TAATGTGTGTGTTAGACAGTGAGTTATTGAACTGCAGTCACAGCGTATTGTTGAAGTTAACGTTCGTTCGTTACAGTGTTGTTTTAGCGCGAGTATTGAGATTAAGTGTATCGGTAAAGTTGTATTCGGAAATAATAAACCAGTTTTATTAAGTAAAGACTTGTGTCGTTAAAGTTTCGTTGGAACGAAGTTACGGAAAAATCAATTAACACACGGAGACGTAACAATATATTGTTTTTGAGCATTAACATTTAATATATACAAGACTGTAATAATTTTAGAAGTTTTCGGTATTATTTTGAAGTAAAGTAAATAAACCTTGCAGGTCTTTTTTTTCTTTCTTACTTTCAAGAATTAATTTTTTTTTAATTAAAAAGAAAGAAGTTGTGATCAATAGTGCTTCAGTGCTAACAATCAGGGAAGAGCTTAGGTATCACGAGATTTTGATGTCTTACCAATGTGAACTACGAATTTCTTTACAGCTAAATAGTTAAGAGGGAGAAAAAAAAAAGAATAACTTGCCCCTGCTTAACGTTCAGTGTTAGAGGAGAGAAAACACGGAGTTCTTAATCATAAGATAATTTGGCGTAAAGTTAAAGGAAACATGGTTCTTAATACAATCGTATTAGGCTTACTGTATTTTTAAACACTACTTTCTTTATTTGGTCCCTTAGGGCTCTGCCGAGAAGAAGAGTGTATAATAACATTTCAAACACAATGGGCAGCCTCATCCATTGCCGACGATGCGTCTCGGCTGGCCTAATAAACTCTGACAAAGTGAAACGCGTTGTCGGCAGTTGATAAGGTGATTACAGTGTGGGTGAAATACTATTATACACTCTTCTTATCTGGAAAAACAAAAACTAATCATTTAAAAATATTGTCTTACGACAAATATAATTGATTATAAACGTAATACTTTTTTTTAAATTTAGATGTTTTCTGACGATAGGCAACTGTCGCGACTTTTTATGTCCACCGATACAAATTTAGCGTAAGAATGCTTAAGGATCACTTTACTGTATAAGAGAAGTGGGACTGTCATTTGTTAGCTTAATGATCAATTTACTCTGTACTAGAAGTGGGACTGTCATTTGTTAGCTTAATGATCAATTTACTCTGTACTAGAAGTGGGACTGTCATTTGTTAGCTTAATGATAATTTACTGTGTACGAGAATTGGGACAGTCATTTGTTAGCTTAATGATCAATTTACTCCGTACTAGAAGTGGGACTGTCATTTGTTAGCTTAATGATCAATTTACTCTGTACTAGAAGTGGGACTGTCATTTGTTAGCTTAATGATAAATTGACTGTGTACGAGAATTGGGACAGTCATTTGTTAGCTTAATGATCAATTTACTGTGTACGAGAATTGGGACTGTCATTTGTTAGCTTAAGGATCGCTTTACTGTGAACGAGATTGTCATTTGTTATTTTCAAGCAGAATAGTGCCTTATGCTAAACACATGCTAAATTAACAGGTCAGAAACTCGAAGTAGAGGCTTAGCTATCCTTATTTTAGGACTGCTAACCAGAGGGAGGGCAACCAGTCAGCAGCGTCCGCCGTCTACACGGCTACTCTTAACCGAATAGCGGCATTGATTGTCACGCTTATAAAAGCCCTCACTGCTGAAAGTACCGGAAGTGTTTTGAGCCGTATATATCGACTCGCGAAGTTCAGATATGCAGCCCGATACGCGTACCACTAGGTCATGCCTGGCGCAAAGAGTGTGTGTGTGTTACAGGTTTAATATAAATAAATGTTATAGTATTATCAAGACTCTGCTTGTAAATGATCAAGCTCTCTTTCATACAGAATCAAACAAAATAACGCAGGAAATTACTTTTTATTCAAAAGAAATAAATAGAAAAATAAAATGTTCTATAGCAGTTGAAACAGAAAATGTAATGATTGTCTTCTTAGCGTTATGATCGTGGTTATGGTTTGTTTCAAAATTTTCGCACAAAGTTTCGCATAGCTGTTCCATGCTGTAGCAAACTAATAGAAATAGAAAGATTTTCCCATTGAAAAAAACGTAAACTATTTTTAGTAACTCGGGAGTTTCTTGTGGTTAGTAATGACACAATTATCGGTTAGAAAGAGGCTATAGGAATCAATAATAAAATGTATGTCTCTTAGTTGTTGTTGCATTTTGCACAAAGTTATTCAAGAGTTATCTGCGCTAATTTTGAAGCGATAAGACTAGAGGTAAGACAGTTAGTCAACAGTACCCACTGCAATCTCATGGGCTACTCTAGTCGAATAATAGTATTTGACTGTACTCTTATAACGCACTCACGGCCTCAAAGGGCGCAGCGGGAATTTTTTCTACGATAACGAGGCGTGAACCACGGATCCATAATCCTGCACGCTTAGCATTAGGTCGTGCTCAGCCCAAATTTTTTATTAAAGCTTTGGATAAAATAGATATTCTTCTGTTGTCCAAGAAACAATAGTCTTATTCGAAAACTAACCACATCTACTGCTATCAAGTACAACGAACACTTCAAATCACTGTGAAAAAATAGTGCCACCTTGTTGTATGGACAAAATTTAGGTATAAGCAAGCAAACCGTAGACAAGGATGACGTCATCCTATACATTATACTTCTTAAAATATATATATTCTACAAGAAATGGCTGTTCCTAGAGATAGTGATTTGTCGTATGCATATCACAGATCCACTCCATACAAATACACTGTCACTAAGTTATCATAACGTCAGTTTAGAATATTTTAGTCCTACTGCCACAAACGTACTTGATATTAATGCCCTCTAGCTACAAACATGAAAAACATAGCTTATAATAGTATTTTTACAACAAACTACTTCTTTATACACTGGAGTTTACTGAATTACAATAACTTTAAACACTGAGCGTTTATATTTCGTGCCTTAATATAAGAGCGATTTTTTTTTACTTGATCCATTAGGCGTCATTTTTTTAATTAGCGGCAGAAATTAAGCAGTGTACGGAAGGTGCTCGTTTAATTTTGCTAAATAGTAAAAAAAAACAAAAACGGTTACAGTCATAAATACTTTTAGGATAAAATCTATCATTAGGTCTAAAGGTTAAACTTGTTGTTAAATTTTACGGAAGTCTAAAGTCGTGAAGGATCAATGATATAAGTTTATGCCTTTAACTGTAAGTTCATTAGGGTAACGTGAAACTTAATTACCAACGACGTAATCTCGGCCGGATTAAGGATTACACAGGCCTGCGATGGTTTTAGTGTCTTAACATTTTTAAATGTTCTGCATTAATTCCTGTACACTGAATCCGAAAATGATATCCATCTTTCCCCATCAAGTACAATTTTTTTTTTTTTAAAAACGTATTATGTACTTTTACATAAGTGAATCATTTTCATTGAAATCCGGTCACATTTTGTTATGCTTAAAATTTTGACAACACTGGCTATATATTTCTCTAGACCAATCACGACGTGAGAGTCTTATCGATCGTTCTAGAACCCACGAGAAACACACCGCTAGTATATAAACGGTTAACATTCCACATGACGTGTCATTTCTGGATAATGTTTGTTTGTGCGTGCACTTTAACATTATTATTATTTTTTTCAATATTATTTATTCGTCGCTATGGGAACAAGAGATTATGTAAATGACCCAAACATATTCCGTTATATTTATGGTAAATTTGTTTTAAATTTGATGTAAATAAGAGTTCCCCCCCCCCCTATTTGTAAAAAATCCTTACATGATAGAAAAAAAAGGAATAATATTTTCGAAATCTACATAGCTGAATTATGGAAAATCTATTATTAAAACCAAAACAACTTTCATGAAGTTTAAATTCGCAGGCCTGTGTTATTATTACATACTTCACATAGGTTTAATTTTAGTTTGGGCTATATCTTAGAAATTAATGAAGAATTTAAAATTAGTTTTAATGCTAATCTTTTAATTTTACAATAAAATGGCAATTTATTCAAGGTTTAATTATTTATTACAGTAGATCTAAGTTTATTAGTCAAATTGTTCAGAAATTGGTGACCTATAGGCTACATTATAAATCGTGTTGTAAATTAGTATAGCATTGATTATTAACATTAGTTGTTTTAGTTTTTCTGTTACACATACAGTAAGTTTGTGCTATAATTCTAGTAATCGTGTTTATGTCTTACTGAGGATATTTTAGTTTGGTGGTTTGTAATCAAGAATTAAACTATTCAGTAATTATTTAGAAATTCGAAACGTGTGTTCAATGTATTATTTTACGAGCGATTTCAGATATAAGCTTACATTAGTGTGTATTATTTAACAAAGAAAATAAATGTTGTAGGTATTAATTTTTAAAACGTCATATGTTTAAATAAAAATTTTAAAAAATTACATTTAGATTCTGAATGCACGTTTAACAGATGACGTATTTATTAATTGTAACTAGAATGATTGTTAATTAATGTTTAAAAGTTAAGCAGCACTTTTACAGTGCATGCAGAGATCAAGTGTCATGAACGTTGTTGTTGAAACTTTTTTCAGTAACTTCAAGTCATTTAAAGATTGCGTTAGATGCTTTATTAAGAATCTCAATTTCGAAAATATCGAATTTGTAATTAAAGAGGTTCTACGTGTGGATTTAGTTAGAGCTGGCTGAATTATGTTTCAAACTTTAATCATGTTTGTGACTGTAATCATAAAATATGTAGAGTTTTTCACTAAGGCTTAACACAAAATATGGCTGGCAATAATCTACAGTTCCTGATTTGATTTTAGACATTAACGAATGCGCCTCCAATCCGTGCCAAAATGGCGGTACCTGTGTGGACAAAATCAACTCCTTCCAGTGTATTTGTAAAGAAGGCTGGAAAGGACCAATTTGTAGTCGGAGTAAGTGTAGTAGTTCGTGGCTTTATTTGTATTCGTATGGTTGATTGCATTTTCTGATATTGTTGTCAATTATTATTATTATTATTATTCAAACAGATTTAATTATTGTGTACAAAGTTATGAACCACCTTCCATCACTTACCATGACTTTTAGTTTTTGTTTCATCATCTAATTCAAGTTTACGTACAGTTAGTTAAGTATTTTATTTATTACTTCAATTACTCAGAACTCATATTGAAGTTTATTGTTTTTCTAACTCAAATTTACAAATTCAAAACCGCAAACATATTCTAATAAACAGTATAGTCTATTATGTACATCTGATAGTTAAATATTCAATCTTATCCGTAGAAATTGTTTTTTTAATTATGTACAAGTGCTTGGAAAACACTATACGTGATAAAATCTGTTTAAATCCATTTAATCTCCGTAATCATCAATATTATTCACAGTCTGTGGTTTTCAACCTTTTGACCTTTTCTACATACGCGAATTCCTTGTGGTTCCCAATAGAAATGAACTCAGTATACCTCTGGTGAAAACATTAGATATATGTATATAAAAATAAATAAACTATACTATATATTTTATTACTGTATTCTCAAGCTAATTGCAGATCCCAGTTGAAAACTTGTGTACACTGTTTTTGACCCACTTCTCTTAGAGAGAAGATAAATGTATCTTTCTAATGTTATATGTGAAATCTGTGTTTGAATTATAACAATGTTATATTGTATGTAACAAGGAATAATAGGAAATTAGTATTACATTTTATCAATGATTCATAATTACAGAAGAACTCTGAGTTTCGGCTATTTTCATTTTGCGCTACAAGGCTTTATTTACTTGTGGCAACATTTTAAAAAATACAGTACAATATCCACTTAATTGTTAATACTGATTGAGTATTCTTACTTAAACGACTGATATGATCATACTGATGAAAATCAGTCAATATTTCTATCAAGCTATTAACAGTGTAAAAGTGCTTTACTCTAAAAGTATTCCTTGTTTGTAGTTTAAATCCTGTCAAAAATTCACGTTTGAATTTTGTATTTTAAAGATATTTAGTTATATCTGAACGATTGGCTTCACAGAAAACTTTGTGCTACTGCTAGAATATTAATCATAATAGAAGACAACAATACGACATTCAAAGCATAAAATAGCTATCACTATTTTCAAGAGAGGCCGTTTAGTAAACAAAGTGTGGTCAGCGTGAGGACCATTGATAATTGTTTAGCGATAATTTCTTATGTCAAGTTGAAATAAGAACCAATGAGCGGCAACAGGAACGGAATGAATTCATAAAAAAAGAGCCAGAGGCAATAACAGAATCTTAGCATGTTAATGGTAAGAAAGAGACCCCAGCGCTATCCCCCGTATTTTCCCCTTCCATATAGTTCCGCACCAGATTTCATCCCTGAACAATACTTATCTACCTGATGGGGCGTTACCAAGGTTACAGAAACTGTCCGTGAAATAACACACAATTATAAAGGCAATGTATAAGGTCAATGTTTGTAGATACCTGAGTACATTGACTTGGTAAATGCCTACATTGCTTGACTACTTCAAAGTTGGGGGTCTCTATATTTAATTAATAACCAGGATAACTCCTAGTTATTAGTTGAATATATGGATAATCAGTCTTGAAATAATTTTTGACCAGTGCTTATTTTTACTAAACAGGTTTAATTTTTAATAAAAAGAAATCCGCTACTTAAGTTTGAAACAATTTAAAGTGAATCCTCAATAGTCGCAACACTTGATTTTTTTAGGCAAGATTAGAGTAAATTAATCAATGAGACCTTTGTTTCCCCATTTATTAGCTATATTTTTGTACGCCATCAATACCAAGTTGGTTTGGTTTGTTTTAAAATTTCGCGCAAAGCTACACGAGGGCTATCTGTGTTTCTAATTTAGCAGTGAAAGACTAGAGCGAAGGCAGCTAGTCAACACCATCCACCAACGAATAGCGGGATTGACGGTGACATTATAACGCCTCCACGGCTGAAGGGGCGAGCATGTTTGGTGAGACAGGGATTCGAACCCACGACCTGCAGATTGTGAGTGGAGCGCCCTAACTACCTGGCCATGCTAGGTCCGCAATACCAAGCATGGACCGCGCTTGTACCTGATTCGATTTTATTACTCATCAGGATCTCTATTAGCCTACCCTCAGATTGAAATTATTTTAGGCAGGATTAGAATAATTAATCTATGAAACCTTGGGCCTCGTTAAAGACATTAATCGAAAGGGTTGGACCTCCCGAGTCCAAAACTGTAATTAGATCTCAAATCGGTTAAGAGATGACGGAGCTATGAGCTAAAAGTTTGTATTTAAAAACAACAACAACTCAGAGCCGTTATGTCGCGGCTAAAAATAAAATTTGCTCACACTAATTATATATCTGTTACTAATTCATATATTCATTTTTACAAAGCAATTCAAAGCCAATACAGATTGATATTCAAAGGTGTTTTTCATGCTGTCCAAATATTATAACACTACGAATTTGAATCAGTCCCCCACCCCAAAATAGATAGAAATCATATGTATGGAGTTTTTTTTTAATAAGTTTACATTGTCTTTTATCTTTAATTGCAAAGTATTTTTCGATTTTTAATAATCAGTACATAATAAAACAGTAAATTAATACGATATAGATACATATTGTATATAGAGGTTGTATACGTCATTCATGTTAAAACTATTGTGGAGCCTCACCACGTCGTTACATTCCATTTTGCCACATCCAGTCGAGCTTTATCTAACGACTCTACATTTTGACAATAGCCCTGCATTGTAGTTTCTATTGCAAAATCTCCGTCGTAAGACTGTCATTACAAACATTCACCACCTCTTCCCGCATGCTTTCCATAATACATCTAGTGTAAGAATATGACAATTTCCCAGCACCTGTTTCAACAGTCCAATCCCATATAAATCCAAATGCACTGTGTCCAGAACTTTACCGGCATGTCTTGCAACTTGACTAGTATGTCTTTGCATGGAATAGCATGACTACGTGTTTCATTATCCAACTGTTTGAGGTATGACTGGAAACCTTATATTGGTAAGCCCGTACATTTTGACCTCGTGTCCGTACGCAATTGGTATTTCTGTATGGTACAAACAATCCAGAACATTGATCTGATAATAACAGAGTCCGTCTTGATCTTTGCATCCACTCTCCTGATTGATATTTCCCCCCTGGCACAGTATCCAGTGGTTATGATGAATTCCTTCGAAAATGTCTAGTGAAATGACATATACAATTGTTGGGTATTTTTCTCTCCCATTGAGCAGTAGAAAATGGCACAAGACTTGTTACAGTTATCAGGGTACACGTGCACTTGGTCGAGTGTTATCACGTATTGTCATTTTATTTTCTGGCTGGGTACTGTTCTTGCAGTTTTCTACAGATGGTCTAAATAAACTACAAGTCTTTTCTTGTACGTTTATAGGAAAACGAATTAGGTAATGCAGTCACGAAAATCTGTTTTTAAAAGTGTCACCATTTTAAATATATACTCCTTTTTTCAGAGCATAGCCACTGTGCTCTTAATCCCTGTGTGAGTGGAGGAACGTGCACAGACCTTGGAGACAACTTTATATGTCGATGTCCTCGTGGATTTGAAGGCCGTACATGTCAAATAGGTTAGTGTCATAAAAAATAACCATAACCCGTTATGTTTGTAGTAAAATATAATTTACCTTATATCAGAATGTAATCAGTTATGTTCATGTAATAAATATCATAGGTTCTCAGACAGTGAAAGTACAAATATATTCGTTTAACTTTATTTGCAGGGACGTGACGAAATCAGTAAAACTTTCAATATATTATTGATTTTTGCTATTATTTCGCTGTATTTCTGAGTACAGAGTTTAGAAATCCAAATGCTTATATTTCTTAAATAGAAGCTACCAATAATATTATTTGAATTGTAAGAGTGGAGCAAAAGTAAGAATTCTTCATGTGTAGGAGGGAGGTTGACTTATTCTATATGTTTGCATTTTCCCAGGAGGGTTTCGCCCATTCATCGAATACAAATGAG